CTCGTTCGTCGTTTAAATACGTTATAAAAACGAAAAACCGCTCTTCTTTTATTTTCGATATCTACGTTAAAATGTCTCATCTTTCGATCTAGACTATCAAAAAAATTCCAAAAGTTGAAGATCATGGAAATAAAACGTGTTTTTTAAACAAGTGCATTTTTCGAGGTTATGGGAGCAAATTTTCAAAGAACTTATGTCACCACTGGAAAGCTGAGAAAAAAATACGTAAGAATATGTTTTTAGATAATTCTTTTATCAAAGTTTTGACACCTAAACGACGAGTTGGAAACGTCGTGTTTAACGCCCGCGCAGGCCGTCCACCGCGGCGCTGGGACAGTTGACGTGATTCTCCCCACGATATGTGTGTGTGTGTGGGTACGGACTACGTGCCGGCGCGTTGACCGCGTCAGCTTCGTCGCCCAAGAAGAACGCAAAAAGAAGCCAAGATGGCCGATAAAACGACCATGTGTCTTACACAAAAGGAAAATGTCCTACACCTATATTTCACCTTCCCACATCCAGCTCGAAGGACCATGTTCGAAATTAAACTCAGTAAGATAGTGGACTGTATAATTTTTATCGCACGCTAGATTTGGGGGAGCGTGAAAAAGGATGTAAATGAAAGGACACAATAATAAATACACAACACACTTTCAAACACTTTAGCCGTTTATTATAAAAAAACAATCTCTTTATTTAATTTTATTTTAACAAGTCATAATACTTGCTTACTTGTAAGATAAAAATAGAAAGAAACAATTTTTCAGTCAGACGGAGAAATTACGTGTCAATTAAAAATGTCAATCGTTTTCGTTACAGAAATCTTACATAAAAACGATGCACGTGAAAATCATAAACACGAGCGCAAAGTGACTTACCGAAAAGGGCGTTTTAGGCTGACTAACGATAACCGCAGCAGCAGCAAGCTGCTGGACAAAGGTAAGTATTAACAGAGTCTATTGGTATATTAATATACGTGTGTACGCTTATGATTGGCCGTTATAGGTAAGAGAATATCCTAAAGCGCGAGATTTCAAATCACATAAACTAAATTTTCTATTTACATCACTGTAATGTTACTGATGTTGCACAAAGAAAGTCTTTGACTTTATAATTANTCTAAAGATATCAAGGAATCAACAGAACTTATCATCTCCTTAGATATGCGCTTCATTTCAGAGCAAGAACTGCCTCTCATAGCTTGACAACTGAGTATAGTAGTTGTACACGTATTGCAAGGGGGCAGCAAGCTGCTGGACAAAGGTAAGTATAAACAGAGTCTATTGGTATATTAATATACGTGTGTACGCTTATAAACCAATAAACAGAGTCTATTGGTATATTAATATACGTGTGTACGCTTATGATTGGCCGTTATAGGTAAGAGAATATCCTAAAGCGCGAGATTTCAAATCACATAAACTAAATTTTCTATTTACATCACTGTAATGTTACTGATGTTGCACAAAGAAAGTCTTTGACTTTATAATTAAAGTTAAAATAATAATGTTATTATGTTTGTTGAGAAAAAGTTTAACTATAAGAAAAAACATTTTGATTAATAACATGAATTATTCTCACTGGCATAAGTCTATCATCACTTAAGACTTAAGGTTGTGTTTGATTCTTTTTTAGGTTACTTGTTAAATTTCACTTATAACTTGGGATTGTTTTGGCTTGATTAATATTTAAATGCTTAGAGTACAGTAAAAGGCGTTACAAATACGCTCTTACCATGGGAAAAATAGTCGGAGGAGGATAAAGAATACATCTGTTATTTTTATATTTTGTAAAAGAACTATGTGAAATGGGATTAATGTTTAACGTAGGCTTAAAAGAAGAGTTAAGTATTTATATTATATGAGGAATTATATTCTAATTTATCACAGAAAACCATTGTTTTATCTACACAAATATACGTATTCATTTAAAGCACAAAGAAAAATGTTAGATGTATTTAAATAGCAAATTTGAACGATTAAAGCTCCTATGCAAATAAAAAAGACTTGCTGTAGATTTTTCACGAACTATTCACACTGCATCAAAGTTATATTTAGTATTGTTAGTTGAAAGTACTACTACACGAATCATACAAAATCAATAATCAAGAAGTAGAAAGTTCTCTGAACTTTTTTAAAACTGATATTCTGGCTTACAAACACCGTTAAAGGCTGTGTGATGTATGATCTTATTAACATTATCCCAATGGATCTTGCTATAAAAATTTTTTGTGATATAAGTAAGCTAAAAGTATTTTATCTCACTAATTATGGATCTTACTCTCTGTCTTATGGCTTTTGTTGTTACGGCAAAGTTACGTACAAGAAAGTGAAAATTTACAATATTCATCCACGTTGTGGTGTATGATATGGATTCACATCTTCATGGCACGCAACGTAAATTTTATTTTGTCTACAGACATGCTTTCTAAAGAAAATTTTGTTGCATAAAACTTCAGTCCAACGATAATCGTAACTGCATGAGAACCAAAAAAAATTTTGAGCAGATAGTCCAAAAAATGGCAAAAAAGGCCAAAACATGTTTTTCAATTCCACCGGAAAAATCCTGATTAAGACCAAAGATAGTTCTGATCAGCAATCTTAAGATAAACAAATTTAGCTACGGTTGGCCTTAATCGGCCTCGACATTTTTTGCAAATTGTCAAAAAGTTCCGGTTGCAGCCTGTTCTTTGACGGCATATAACTGGTATTCAAATTAACATTTTTTATCTTAACGGAATGTGGATCTTGTGATTCCTAATATCTCCAGAAGATTTCTAGACAACCGGAGATAAACTTCTTGCAAATGGTTCAATAAATGAAAAAAAGTATCTTCTGATAAGCGGCTTAAAAAAAGTTATTAGACCACATAGAGCCACTTTACAAAAAGTCTTATTTTCACTACATGTAAGTCTAACACTATTTGAATTTTCGTATCCTTTAACAAACGTATCAAGAAATAATATTTTTTGGAAAAATACAAGTGGTAGTGCTGATATTGTCTCGCTAACAATTCAGGCCATCCTCTTCAAATTGCCTTAAACTGATGTGGTTGTCAAAATTATCGATATCTTTTGATCTGAGCATCGTAAATTGACAACAATTTTTTTTAAAATGAGATGGATCGTAGTAAAACTGAGGTCCCACGTTTCGTAATACGTCAAAATGGTAATTAGAACACCAGTTACAAGCCATTGAAAAAAAGTCAAAATTGGCACTTCTCGGTAACTTGCAGAAAAAGGCTATGTTAATTGAGGTTTGCCAGGGCTCATTTAATTTCTTCTAAAGTTTAACATCTTCAGATTGTTTTTCTTTTTGTTTTAGTTATATTTTTTTTTAGAAGCGAAAAAATGTTTAGCATATTTGTACCATATTTTTGAACCTATTGTTAAAATTTTTTCAGGCCTTATATTGTGATGTTTATTGTAAAAATAAAATTCTATACAAAAAAATTTTTTTGTTGTGTAGTCAGGATTAATTAGCTGTAAATCTAATTTGCTCTCACTGATAAATGAAATGCAACAAAAGAGAAGCGTGCTCTTAATTTAACGATGCATAATACATCGGAATCTAATATTTCTGCTAATAATATGGATTAAGTGAAGAAACACGTGACGTTGAGTTGAGTAAACTGAAACGAGCAAAACTGGCTCAACAAAGAATTATGTGTCCACTGTCTTCACTAGTGCATTGCTTATCTTATCTAAAGATACAACACACAAATGAATATAGTGAGGATAACTTAACGTGAATCTCTAAGAAATGTTTTTTAATCACTAAGTCAAATTAAAAAAGAGTAAAAACAGTTTATTTTTGGAATTTATTAAAGGTAAGCCAGCTCAAGTCACGAATTTTGGAATAACTAAGCCAAAAGAATCAGAAGTAACACATCATTTAGGATTCTACTGTCAGAAGGTACATAGCTATAAGGGTGAACTCAAAGACTTTCGTGTTAAGGGTAGCTTAAAGAAAAATAAAGTTTCCTATCGTATCAATGGGGTCGATGTTATTTTTAAGCCTGATAACATCATTTATTAAATAACTTTATTTCATAACAAAATAAGGAGTCAATGCATACTTTCATAATTTCTCAGAAAAATGTAATCTTAGATAAGTTGGGATTTATTTAAAATTTGATAAAAAAGACGTGAGCGGGGACGTTAAAACTTACAAATCCCTTAATCTTATTCTTAGGAAGCTCTGTTTGATTTCTCTGTTATAAAAAGATTACAAATTCTATGATTTATCAAGCACGATTATAAATGGCTTTAATATGCTTTATTTTATTAAAAGGAAATATTTTTGCATTAGTTCTGCTTTCCTTAAATAGGAACTTCAACTGACTACTAGTCTTATAAAAAACTAAACGTCTTGTGATTGATCGTAGAAGACACTATATGTCTTATAATATTATAATTATTATTCAACTTTCACATATATAAAGAGAATCTGTTATTAGAAATATAAAAATAGATATAGCAACCATAATCAAAGAATATTTAACTTTCTTTGTTAAATAAACATCACTACTTAATACAATCATACAAGCTCACATCAAAATTACCATTGCATTCCAATAGGACTATTGGGCATATTTGTTGGTAATTTTTTGAATACAAGTAAAGACGTGTTACTTTATTTCCACCCTTTACTTTTGATGACAAGAGATATTGTGAAAAGAGTTATTGTAAGCATCTCTTGATTCCTAATGACATTAGATTTTGTAGTAACTTTTAAATATTCTCCTTATTACTAAGGCATTAATTTTTCATAATTAATCGTTCCATAAATAAACTCTTATTAGAAGACTTAAATGACTAAATCGATCAACTTGAGCGAAATTCATAATCGAAGCAGTTTTTTACAGCATTCAACATCAGAGATTCGTGTGCATAAATAACAGAAATCAATGCCCTAGTAGTTTTTATTTAAATATGGCTAAGCTTATGAGAATAAAAAATACATTTTAAGAAGTATACTATGTACTGAGGAATTGAGTACCTTGACATGTATGTTGCCCACTGGAAATAGTTTAATCGCAGGTTGTTCTTGGGGAACAAAGCGGTAAAATTCCCTTCCTGATTTATACCATTTCACAATATACAATGGATCTGTCTCTAAATCATACAAACAGTATAATGTAGCATTGTCTCCTTTCTTAACAGCCATGGGTGTTTGAATTCGAACTTCTTTTAATCCTAGAACAAAAGCTGTCAGGAAAATTTAAGTGATTATAGTTCTACTTATCAAAGAACAGTTTAATTTAATAAGAGTAAAATTATACAATATTTTTTAGTATGCGAATTATGATATTTCAAAAGTCAAGATTGTTTTTGTGTAAACCTATTAAGTCATAAGCTTAGAATTTAACAAATAATTGAGTCATTGCACTTGATGGAATCGTCGGTGATGTAATTTGCAATAATCTTTAAATAATTTAAATACTATGGACCATAAAAAAACTAAATTAGTGGTAAGATATGAGGACTTATACAAACTGATGGTGTTCTCTACTATAAGTATCAAAACTTTTAAAAAAATTCATCATAGCATCATTGAATATAAGAAAATTGACATAATTTCTTATGAGAAGAAAGCTTATGTAAGAAAAATTATACGTAATTTTGTTTCAAATGAATTATTTTTAAATAAAAATTTTGATTGCTAAAGTGTTAAAAAAGTGATCTTATTTAACATTAGCAATATTTAAAGCAAGCACGGTAAACAAATATAACGGCAAAGTTTTTAGCTGTGGATGTATTTTTATGCGTTGGCATAGCAAACATATTCAATTTAAAGAAAAAAAGTGATTTAATTACGTTTAATCTTAATTCGTTTGCAGGACTTATGAGTGTGGCTAAGCTACGATTTTAGCAACTGATACCAGTATGACAGATAATTAAAAAAAAATATATTTTTGATTTTATTATTCTGATTTAAGTGCTACAGTTTGATACATAAATTTTTAATAAAATTACGACATCCAATATGAATTTTGTCATAAAGCTTAAAATGTCATGAGACGCTATTTAACATTTTTTTTCAATAAAGTTCCTTACTGCGTATGTCCAATTTTTTACATTATTCCAGCATACACAGTATGGTTGATTTAAAAAGACGAGACAAATATATATTTAAATACATTTCATTTTAGATCATTGATAGAAATCTTAAAAAGTTTAATATCATATCTCGCTCAGTTCATCTTTGATCTTCTGTACCATTTTGCTCATGCTTTAAATATAATCATGCACACCACCTGCAAAAATTTCAGCGTTACAAAAAAACGAAATCAAATTTTTCGTAATCAAAAGTTTAATAAAAAAAAAATAAAAATGGACTTTCTTAACATCACCTTAACTAGTAAAAAAAATTTTTTTGTCGCCACGATTCATACACAATCATTTTTAAGGTGTTAATTACAAAATAAGATGTCAAATTTTTATTCATTACAAAAAAGTAGTGTACGAAGATTTCTTAGGTCACTGATTATGAATCAGGTGTCAAAATGTGATTATTTAGAACTTCAGATACAGCATAATTGAGACATAAATAAAGAATAACTGTTATTACTGAAAATGTTAGTAAAGAAGAAGTTTTGCAAATGATTTAAAGCTAACTATAAAACGTTATGCCTTAAATTTAACTATAGATTTTCGCTTTCTTTCAGAATTTATATTAAAAAAATTAGAAAATTATTAGTCGCAGTATACTTCTGTTCAGTAATTCTTGTCATGCATCATAGCTATAGATAACGCTGACGCAAATCACGAATATACTTACAACAATGTGTAAGACATGCACTTTAATCATTAAGTATCTTTCTGATTTATCATTGAAAAGTAGATTTTCGATTAGATAAAAAGAACGGAAAGGTCAATAAGGAGTTGTAGGCATTCTTATTGACATTATACTGCCAACAGAAAATATACAACAGTTAAAAAGTAATACACTTTTATTAAGTGTGGTGTATTATCCAATTCCTTACGATCTCATGAACAAGTGAACACTGCCCTACATGAAATATTTTTTTAGAATAAAAAAGGCAATGCAGCTGGCTATGTATGTAAAGTTTTAACTAGAGATTTTTGTGTGTTGGAGTGGACTTTTAATTTTATTAACGTAGATCTCAATTTATGTTAGAAAATACTTAAACGTAAATTAATTTTAACAGCTGCCATCTTTGAGGCTAATACATGTGTGAGAATGCTGACTCAAAAGATCTCATAACTTTCAGGATAAATCCTTGTGTTACATAACTTGAATAAAAAATGTAACTGAAAATTAACTACTTACATATGTAGCAGGTAACATAACAGTTAATGTCCGTAGCTATTTTACCACTTATTAAAATTTCCAGATATAGCAGCCAATTTAGAGAATTAGCCATGCTAACTCCGTGGACTCAATATTCATTTTGATTTTAATATACTTTCTGAAGTAATAAAGAATCAAGAATTAAAATTCTCCCTCTCCATACACAGAAAGAGGAAACAAACTGAATAATAAGATTTAAAGTAACAAAGTGTGTCATAAGCTAATAATTTTATGGTCAATTGTACACAGTTAAATAGAGACAAAGTAGCAGTTATTGCGTTAATTGTTAAAGGATTTTACAAGAAAAAACTAAGTAACTTTACTATACTGAAAGACTAAATATCGAAGCTCTCCACTGTATTGCAGCTGCTGCTAAATGCTGTAATTAAAATCATTAAAACGCTACTGAGACATTTTTTAAAGTAAAAGATGGCTGTGCCAAGTGAGAGTCCACACACTCATGCTGATACTCAGTAGTATGACTGTAAGGCAATAAGTAGAGAAACGCCCACACACGAGTACATATACGATAATTTAATTTTTTCTACAAGTGTGTAAGCACCAACTTCTACGTAGCTGGTCCAAGGTCTAAGTTAGCACTACATAACTGGCGAAGTCCTGAATCAGACACCTGTATTGACCTCAAAATAGTCTATCATCAATTTCAAAATAAATTAATATTAACTTAAAATAAATCTTAATGTTTAATTAGATCTTGAAGTAACTTGATGAAATTTAAAGTCCATTTGAACACACCTACAGTTACAGTTGCAACTTTCTATAATGATCTAGCCGCATTGTCTCTCTTATTCCTCAAAGTATATTCTTAAAAGGATAGCATCTTTCTTTATGAGTAATATGGGAAACAAGTTTAATGCTGTCTGTTATAAAAGTAAAATACGTTTTTTATAAATTGACAATATACTTAAACCTTTAAATATGTATATTACATCTACATTATGTGAGCATTCCAGTTTGAGTCACAATTAACATTGGCTGTAATGTGTGATAAAAATAAGGAGAAACTAAAGAACAGTTACCGCAGATCTCGAAGTTTTTTCAACATAATATTCAGAAGAAAAAGACTAAATGTAGCCACGCAACTGTTTAAATACAATTTTCACACTTTAGTTACGGAACTGACTAGTACTTGTATGGAAAAATTTTAATTTATTAGACACAAAATAACGTTCTAAGCTCTTAAATTTCTTTTACTTTTAACTTTGAGGTAATAGCACCAAATACTAATTTACCTATTCATTAAATTAAATTGGCTTCTTTCAGTTATTCAATTTTCATTCAGAAATATCAGAACCTAGCGTACCCTAAAGCGGCTTCTCTTGCATTGTATAGAATGTTTGAAATATTTTTTTCGAAATATGTCTTCCTTAAACACTGCTGTACATTGCAAATGTATATAAAATGTACAACATATCACATTTCATTGCAGCCTTGCCCGCTTCTTATCCATTAATGTTTAAAATATTTGATTTTGTTTGTGTCGGTATACCTTTTAAATTAAAGTATTTGTTTTACATTTCGAAAAATTTTATAATACACTACATTATTAGTTTTTCTATCATCATGTATTATTATGAATTGGTTTTCAGATGTACCTTATCTCGAAAGTCGAACGTAAAATTGTCCATATGAGAAACAATCAGATCGTACATGAATTCCACACCGTATATGCTCAAGAACGATCAAAATTTCATCACATATAAAATTTCATAAGATGCGTTATCACTCAACACTGACTATGTAATAGTGAACGTGTCACACATTTCCGAAACCTCTTACGAACTTTTGATTATTTAAGTGACTCCATAAAATTGATTGCGAAAGCGATTCTGTCAATGTAAAGTAACATTAAAAACATAATCATTCACCCTCTGGTGGATGAAAGTTAAAACTCTCTGTTACAGCTGTTTCGCAGTGAGCTTTCATGAGTAGCATAAAAACATTTCTATAAATATTATCGTTAATTTTAATAGCCTATAACACATTAGAAGTTGTAATTTAACTTTAGTTGAAATTAGAGATGAATTGGCTTAGTAGTTTTTAAGATTTTTGCGAACGTAGAAACAACGCTGTTTATATAGTAGTATATAATTATTGAAAAATAATTGTTTAAAAAAAATTTCTTTTTTTTTATTCTCTTCAATACGGACTGTATGGAAAGAAAAAAATGATGTTTACGAGTGAAAAGTTAAAAATTGTTTTCTCCTAGATCACTAGCTAAAAGTCATGAGTGTGAAGTAATAGTGATCTAGCCACAGACAAACGTAACTGACACTTACACTGGTGACATGCATTATTGTATTTGCTGACAATATTGACATAACGCTTTATAAAATTGGCATTAACTCTTAGTTGAATGTTCAATTAAGTAACTGAATCAAACAAAGCTTTAAAGTTCCCTTGATCTTTTACTTACTATTCATTTCCTTTTTCTCCAATCCAATAATCTTTCTGTCCATATCCTCAGCGCTCTGTACTAATGAAAGTGTAAGCTTTCACTGGTGTTGAACTTGCTTGAAATAGAAAAAGTGCGTATGCATGCGTGGTTTAACTATCTTGCCTATGCACTCACTTGTAAATAAATGATTATGCTAGTGATTCAGCTACAGACGTTCACAAGAAATACTTGTAATTACATACATTATCATAACTCAGGCAAGTTTAAGTACGTTAGCAAATTAGCATTTATTTACAATAAAATAGTTTAAAAAAACTGATTTAACTATAAAGATGGAAAAATGACCTACACCCCAAAAACGTCTTTGCTGACCTAACGAATATAGGGAGAGCACTTACAATATACTTTATCAGATTCGATTTTTTTTTTTTTTTTTTAAACCTGCTACATATGCTGAGAGGAACAGAAAATAAT